CTGTGTTTCTGGCAGAGTGCAGTACCGACAAGCAGCCAGAAGTTCCCCTTGATAGAACCTTGCCCGCCGGGGATGCCAGTCCTCACTGGTGAACTTGGCACTGAGCCAGGGAAGCAATGTTGTGGATCCTGAACCACTGTCCCAAATGGTAAGGCCACCCTGCACCCTTAAGGGGAGTTGTCCCAGCCCTGGACCCTCTTCTGGTCTTTTCTTTACTTGATAGATTTGCACATTGTCATGATCACCCAGCATGGCATTCCTACCCCTTCTCCACCTTGTTGGGGTTCCTCAGGTGAGAGAACAATGCTCCCCAAAGCACCACCTTCAGATCTGGGCATGCAGCTTCGGGCAGCAGCCGTCACCATTTGGTCCCGTGGAAAGACGGGAGGTTTGGTGGGGTTTTTTAATGCAATGTATAGACAAGGAGAGATGCTGTTTAACAGAATCAGGTGACTGGGACTTGGGGATTGAGCTGTCTGCCGGCCTCATGAATCAGCTGTGAGCAGCTGCCAGAAGCTCCCAGATCCTGGGCCGCAGCTGAGGTCGAGGGAAGTCAGGCAACTTTCTTGCCTTTCAGCCAGATGAGCTTGCACTGGACTGTGGCCGACTCAGGACGGAACCCGTGGCCCCCTGCAAGTCCTGTGGGCACCTCGAACCTGCACAGGTTGCAGGAAGGCAAGCAGCAAGCAGCAGCTACTGTGATCAGTAGAGTGGGGGGCAGAGGGTGGCCTGAGCTGGCGACATGGGGGAAAATGAGGCACCAGCAATAGCAGAGGGTGGAGGTCACCACCAGCGGGGCTTGTGGGTGACCCTCGAAGAAGACTAAAAGGAGTGCAGAGGTCACATGAACAGCAATCAGGATGCAGGGAACTGGACGGGAAATGGAGCCACCTGTGAGGGCAGGAGGTGCGGCTTGCCTTAGATCAGAGGTGCAATGTCTCCCAGGGGGAAGGCACCTTAGGGAGCTGGAGTCACAGCCCTGGGTGGTTTCCTAGGCAAGGCTGAGCCACAGCACGGTGGCAGCTGCAGGGAACTGTGTCCCACCCAGCTCTGGGCTCTTGGTCAGTTATGCGGCACCCACATCTCACAGGCAATGACAAGTGAGCTTCAAAAACAAGACCTCCCTTCTAGGATGGGCTTAGCTTCTCATTATTCTGAACCTTCTAGAAGCACATGAAAGAATTATAAATAGCTTGAGTGGTGTGGCTGTGGTCTTTCTCCAAGAAATACTTCCAAGAACCAGTTCCTCACATCCACTTGTGCAGTGCCCTAGACCTGAAGGACTGGCTCTGACTCCAAGGCCGAGGGTCCTGGCCTCTCTGGGAGCCCCTTGGTGACCTCTGTGGGCCAAGGGAGGTGACAGAAGGTGCCTAAGGCCCCTCTCAAAGGGGGCTGGAAAGGGGAACATGCATACTCTTACCCAGAAACCAGCAGTGTTCCTTCAGCCCTTTTAGGGTGGGAGGCGAAGTAATTACAATTTATAAAACTCTACCCCCTTGCAATCTCTCTTCTACAGAGGCCTTAGGGACAGGTGAAGGAAAACCAGAGGTGGGGTTGGAGGCGTGACTCAGTTGGTAGAGCACTTGCCAGCGAGCAAAAGCATCAAGTGCAGAGTTCAAGTCCCAGTCTTGGACCCAAAAAAGAAAAGAAAGAGAGGGGGAGGGAGAGAAGGAGAGGAAGGAAGGAAGGAAAAAAAGAATGAAAGAATGAGAGAGGGGGGAGAGGGAGGAAGGGAAGGAAGGAGGAAGGGAGGGAAAGGAAAGGTAGATTCTGTAGCCCTGCCACTGTCCTGCCCTGCCCTGGCACAAGATGGTGCTGGAGAGAAAAATATGGTGGTGGAGGAGTAGAAAATGCTCAGGCTCTAGGCAAGTCAGGAACTCCTAGGAAGAAGGGTAAGTTGTCCTTTATTGTGTGTGTGCTGATGCTGGGGTTTGAACTCAAGGTCTTCAGTTCTTGCTTTAGCTTTCTTTTTTTTCTTCTCAAGGCTGGCATTCTGCTCTATCACTTGAGCCGCAGCTCCACTTCTGACTTTTTACTGATTAGTTGGAAATAGGGTTCTCAGACTTGTCTGCCTGAGCTCCTTCCAAACCTTGATCCTCAGCTCTCAGCGCTAGGATTACAGATGTGAGCCACTGGTGCCTGGCTGAAAATTGAAAGTAGGCTTCTCAAGCCAGCGGAGGGGGGAGGGGGGAGGGGGGAGGAGCAGCCTGGAGCCAGGCATCTTGTGTCCTCCTGAATGCCCTTGAGATCCTAGAGCCACCGTGCTGGAGCCAGGCGCACCTTCACTGGTGGCCCTGCTCTGCCATCTTTCCAGCTAGCATCAAATCGTTCCCCAAGCTGCACAGAGGTGTAGCCTCGGGCTAAGGGGCACCCCTGGCATCTTTAGCTCTAGAGAAAGTTGAGCCAGTAATGGACCACATCTGGTAGTCAGGATGGGGCACCTGGGGGGAGTCATGGCTGTGCAGTCCTTGGGAGAGAAGAGCACGTGTGCATCCGCCACTGTGGGTGGCGGTGAGCTGGTGGGGGGGCTATCCACGCCCCTCTGTGCCCATCATGACCCTGGGCCCCAGGGCAGGCGGCTTCCTTACCAAAGTCATCCAGCAGGAACCCCTAGACCCAAGGCCCAGACACCAAGCTATGGGTGGCAGAGACATGTCATCTGCAGGAGGCCCAACCAGCCTCAAGGACAACGCTCAGGGAGGAGGGCGTAGGCACGTGGGCACACAGGTGACTGCCTGATGCTTAAGTGCCATCATAACCATCCCAGGTCCTTTATTTCCCTGCTATTATGTGCTTAGCAGAAAATTGTTTTCTGTTATCCCAATGAGCTTCTCCGAGCACATGGCTGCACGGGTAAGCTCGGGTGGAGCCAGCCCCACAGCTCACGCCTTGTGGTTTCCAGAATCACCGCAACCCTGGGAAGGGCCTTCCGAACCGCACTGACACCCCTTCCCGGGACACAAGGGAAACTGAGGCCTGGTTTCAGCAGCTGTGCTGAGCTCACTTATACTCTACCCCAGAACACCAGGAGCGACTCTGAACACTGGACTTTGCAGAGAAAGCCATGCCGGTGGCGTGAACCGCGTGTATGGTGTTCTAGCAGAACTCGGGAGCCAATGCTGAGTGCCGTCCACACATCCTAGCTCAAGAAGACTCAGAAGCCAAGACGTGGCCACCTCCAGACACCAGCAAGGTGACCCGCGCTCTGTCCACCTCACTGGGTGGCCGGGAGGAGGCTGCTCGAGCCTATCTGGAAAAGCAGTTTGGGACTAGTGGTGACACTCATGACAGGATCTCAGGCCACCTGTTCTGAAGCAGCCTCAGGGTCAGGAAGCTCACTCAAGTCCACAGCCAAGAAAGAGGCCAGCCCCGGAGTGACCTGGCCTCCTGCGCTCCAGCCCTGGAGTGACCTAGCCTCCTGTGCTCCAGCCCCGGAGTGACCTGGCCTCCTGCGGTCCATCCCCGGAGTGACCTAGCCTCCTGCGCTCCATCCCTTACACAAAGCAGAAGTCATCCCTGCTGGCCACCAGTGTCTTGAAGCCTCCCCCAAATAGGCATGGGCATGGGAGGGATTGCTTTTGGGGGGGTCCGGGAAACTCAGAGAGCCCAGGGCAAGGGCAAAAGGGCTGGGCCTGGGGCCTCACAGAAGCAATGAGCCCAGGCCAGAAGCATGGGGTGAGCCATTTCAGATACTCAGCAGAGAGCAGGAAAAGGCTGAGTGTTTCTGACCCAGCTGCCTGAGGAACAGGGGGAATGGTCCAGAAATGCAGCGCCTCATAGTGCCCAGACCACACAGGCCTAACTCGATGGAGCATGCCCCAAAGCAGTTCAACGGGTAGCTCCTAGCAAGCACCGGGCCCAGGCCTGAGCAGGGCATGCCCTGCAGCCTTTCACATCCCTCAGAGCCCTGTGTGGTGACACACAGACCAGGAGGAAGAGCCCCTGCCCCTCCTCGACAGCCCACCCGTGGATGGGGGGAGGGTCTTCTTGGTCTCAAAGGATGTCCCTTTCTCAGGGACACATGTTGGTGTACCCAAAGCTCAGACAACAGAGACGTCGTATCCATCATCCAGGGCTGGGACACTGATCAGCTGTTCTCTGCACATGACAAGAGTTCAGCTTGCCAGAGACTGGACTCCCAGAACAAGATGGACCTGGGAGGAAAAGCAGGTGCCCACTGGCCCCAGAGAAACTCAAGCTGCCCAACACACACATCTGTTCTCCCCCTTACTGATCTTCCAAGTCTGGGCAGTGCCAGGCGGGAGTTGTGTCCAGCCCAAGTAGTCCTTCCTGGTTTTCTTCCACACTCAGCCCCTCTGTTCCTTCTCATCTCCCCAGGAACCCCACTCTGCAGTGCGGAAGCATGGCCCGCTCTCCACTGCCAGCAAGGCACCACATCACCCACAAATGTAGGTTGGCAGGCCTGGGAGCTGCCTGTGAGTATTTAGAATGGAGCCTTGGGCAGGGGTATGGCAGACAGAGGCTGGCAAGGAGGAGGGACATGGAGAGGACAACACAGTCCAGGAGGTAGGACCATCAACCAAGCCAGGAAAACCAGAGAGGACACAAAGGCCCGCTCCAGAGCCCGCGGTGCTTTGGGCTGGAGTCTTCCACCCAAAGAGACCCCTCCGGCCTCATCTCCCTGGGGCCCCTGAGGAGGCCAAGGGGACGGCAGAGCAGCTTTATTGACCAGACTTGTCAGTAAGAACACAGCAAAGGTGGGGCCTGAACAATCCAGTCCAGCAGGGGGCCTGGGGGAGTGACCTCAGGTCCCCCACTCCCCCTCCCCCAACCCCCAAACATACACACAAGTCCCTGGAACCCAGCCTCACCCATTCCAGGCTCCCTGAAGAGAGGGACCACAGGGGACAGGACAGTACCAGAGAACCTGGGAAGGTGGGTGGGTGGGCCTGGCATGGGGCAGCACCGAACACATGCCTGCTCCAGCAGCCTGCAGAAGGCCATCCATGCGGGGCGGTGGGGGACGTGCAGGGGCGGGGTCACCACACAGAGCATTTGTGGGTGGGGTTCATGGGCGAGTCCTTGGGACAGTGGAAGGCCCGGCCGAACTCCTCAAACTGAGACACGCTGCCCAGGACCCTGGGGGTGGGGAGGGGAGACCCCAATAGGATGAGGACTGACCTCGTCCTCCATGCCCACCCCACCCCTCACCCTAGATCCAAGAAGCAAACACAGCCCAGGCCAGCAGGCAGGCATACCTGTAGTGCTCAGGAGCATGCTTGTCAGTCAGCACCTGAAGGTAGATGGACTGCGACCGCCGCTTGATACACCAGTTCTGGGTCCCAGAGTGGGTAGATGGGGGGTGGAGGAGGGGCAGGTGTGACCTGCCCCTCCTCTACCACCCACAACCAGATTTAAGATTCCATCAGCGTCCCCAGGGCCACCAGCTCTGAGCACAAGGGTGATGGGAGACTGGCTGGACCCCAGGGATAGCCATGTGAGGCCTGAGTAAGGCAGAGCTAGGGCTGAGAGGCTACTGGCTACTGTGTCCCCAACCCCAGTTCCCACCTGGCCCCGACTTGGCCCACCTGGGCAAAGGCGATGAAGAAGAGCTGATTGTGTGTGTACTTCAGCCGGTGCAGCGGGTGCTCCGGCCCGTGCTCCCGCACCCACTTCTGATAGGCCTGGAGTACAGAGCAGCGGGGAGCTGCTGTGTCTACCCATCCTGAGCACTGCCCCTCTTCCGTCCTCAGCCAAGATCCCAGGGCCCCCCGCCCTCCATCACCAGCTCAGCTCTGTACATCACTACCTCGCTGTGCTTCCGGTCCAGCCACTCACCCTGCATGGTTCCAAGCAGGCTGACCCAGACCAACACCACCCTCCCCACTCAGTGATGGTGGGGCCCATGGCTCCATCCTTGCCCAGTGGACCCTGTGCACCCAGGCATCAGCTCTGTCCCTGCCCAAGCCAGGATAGGCAAGGAGGGGGGCCATGCCTCTTGTCCTCCTCAGCTCCCACCCAGCCCTCAGTAGGGACAGAGAGCAGGCAAGATCACTCACATAGTAGGCCAGCTTGAGGCCACCCATGTCTGCAATGTTCTCACCAAGTGTGTGTTTTCCATTCACCTGTCACAAGGGGACCGCAGGGGTTGAACAGGGGCCACTGGCTGCCCACTGCTGCCCTGGCTACTCCTGGGCCCCTGTCCCAACCCCCAGCCATCCCCTCCTGATCATTCTCAGAGCCTTGGAGACCTTGCTGCGGCACACGGGCCAGGGTGGCATCTCACCCGCTGGTTGTAGACAGTGAAGTTGTCATAGAGACGGACGATGCACTCGGCCTTGCGCAGGAAGCGGCTGTACGAAGCCTCGGTCCACCAGTGCAGCAGGTTCCCAGAGCGGTCATACTGGCCCCCTGTGGACAATGGGCCAGCAGGCTACTGAGATTCAGCCTCACCTCAGAGCCAGCTTGGGCACAGGGGCCCTTCCTATACACCCAATCGGCTTGCCACCCCACCAGCCTCCCATTGTCTGTCCTCCCCATCTCTGGCCACTCCCTCCGGCCCCAACAGGCCTCACCCCAGTCATCGTAGCCATGGGTCAGCTCGTGCCCGATGATGGTGCCAATGCCCCCGAAGTTCAGAGACCTGAGTCCACAGCAGCAGCATCAGGCCCAGTCCTTGGCTGTGCTCTGAGAGCCCCATGCTGCCGCCCAGGGCCCTGGCCAGGCCACAAGGTGACCAGGGAGGCCACAGACACATCTGAGAGGCCCTGAGCACATGTCTCATCCTCATCTTCCTCATGGGCTATGTGGAAGGCCAATGGTACCTGTCCAGACACCTTTTGGGGAACAACATCTAAGAAGGGCAGTGAGGGGTGTGGACATGATCGCAAGGAGACAGGAAGGAAACTGAGGCACTCACATGTGACTCTCCTAAATAAGCCTAAAATAGGTTAGGGATGCCCATGAATCTTAATTGAAACAATAAAAAAACAATGGTGTGTATGCGTATGCATGTGCACGCACGCATGCATGCCAATATTAGAGCTTAAACTCATGATCTGGTGCTCCTGCTTGGCCTTTTTGCTCAAGGCAACACTATACCACTTGAACCACACCTCAACTCTGGCTTTTTGCTGGTTGCTTAGAAATAAGAGTCTCTCAGATTTATCTGCTTAGGCTGGCTTCAAACCTTGATCCTCAGATCTCAGTCTCCTGACTAGCTAGGACTAGAGATGTAGGTCACCAATGCCCAGCAGAACCTACAAATTCTTTTTAAAAAAGCCAAGTGAGTTTGGGAACCTAGTGTCTGCAGCGTGTAAGACCCAGCCCAGTTATGAAGCAGTGCAGCTCCTCCACTTTAACCTCCAGGCCCCACCCTTCAGCCACATGTACTCACTGTGGGAAGTCAGGATCATACAGTGTGGGCTGCAGGATGCCAGCTGGGAACACTAAGAAGGGGCGTGGTCAGTGAGAGGCACGCCTACTTTAAGGACCGCCCCCATCAGGACACACCTCCTTACCCATCTGGTTCTTATTGGGTAGATAGTAGGCGTTGAGCGCCTGTGGGGGAAGCAGCCACCTGCGGGAGGGAAGCTGGAGTCAGCTCTGGAATGCCCCTCACACCCTAGCCTTCTTTTTTTGTCATGGTCTTGAACTCTGGGCTTGGGTGCTGTCCCTCAGCTCTTCAGCTCAAGGCTAGCACTCTACCACTTGAGCCACAGTGCCACTTCCAGTTTTCTGGCGGTTTATTTGAGCCACGACCCTCAGATCTCAGCCTCCTGAGTAGCTAGGATTACAGGCCAGAGCCACCGATGCTGGGCCCACCCTAGTCTTCTTAAACGTGCTCCCCATGGTCCAGCTACAGTAAGATTCTGATAATGAGTATCCTCTGGGCCTTTCCAGGCTGGGCAGCACCCTGCTGGGGCCATCCCGTACCCTGCACAGCTGCATGCACCCCACACGTCAGCTCCGAGGTAGTTTGTTCCACAAGCTGTCTCCCATGACCATCTCCAACCCCCAGCTCTCGGCTAAGCACCCACGTGGACTTGTCCACCTCCTGTCGAATCTTCTTGACAGAGAGCTGGATGCTGAAGCGGATGCTGTTCAGGATGTTCTTGAAGTAGGTCTTCTCGTGGACCTCAAACTGTATGCGGGATGGGCAGCACTCAGCAGTAGGCCGAGAAAGAACAGGCCGACAGAATGAGTCTCCACAAGTTTGTGTGTGTTCTGGAAAAGCTTGCCCATAGGACGGGGGAGAGCCAGGGGGAGGGGCCTACCTCATACTCCTTGTCCACAGCCTCGGGCTTAAGCAGGAAGTCTGGGTAGCCTACCATGACCATCATGTACTGGAGCTGCGGGAGACATGGCAGGAGAATGGTTCAGGTCAAAAGCTTGAGGCCAGCCTGGGGTGCCAGTCAAGACGGGGGCAGAGTGGACCAGAGGGTGGCAATTCCACCAAGGCCTCTCTGTTTCTTTTGTTTTGTCATTATCCCCCAATGCCCGGTACCCCGTAGGCACTCAGAAAAATGGTCTGGGAACCAGTATCAGACTCAGATCCCCTCTCACCTTGGCCCGAGCAGCTGCCTTGGTCTGGGCATCCATCCAATCTAGCTCCTCCAGGCGCTGACCCAAGATGTACTTGATGTCTTCCACCAGCTGTTGCACCTGCCAGGTCAAAGGCCTGGGGTCAAAGGTCAATCAAGGAGGCTTTTGGTCTGGTCCCAGTTGCTGGTTACCTAAGGTATTCCCAACATCCAGTACCACGTCCTCAGCTCAGGGTGCCATGGAAGCACTGAACACAGCCTCAAGAGGTAGGGATCCCTGCAAGCTACCCTGAAAGAGGTGGGGGTCCCTGCAAGCTACCCTGACGATGAGCCGTCCTCTGGAAGGGAGAGAATGCTGTCCGATCCTAAGGCTATGCCCTTGAGCATGGCTGAGATAGGCGTACAGAGTTATGGCAGAAAGGGGCCACAGGGAGAGGAAAGCTCCTGAGCCTGGGTCTGGGGGAGGAAGACTGATGAAGACTACCCAGAACCCTCCCCCGAGCCTGAGGTGGGAGGTAGAAGGAAACGTGTGAGGACACCCGCGCTCCATACCGAGTTCCATACCCACCACCCCACCCTGCACCCAGGGCAGCCTGACCTTGGCTTTGCTGGCAGCCGAGAAGTGCTCATGTACAAAAAGGGCACCAAGAGCCATGCCAAAGTGGCGATTGGCCTGGCCCAGGCAGACGCGAGCCAGCTCCTGGGGCTTGTCGCTGCCCTCCATCTCCCTCGCCAGCTCATGCAGCGCCTCCCGGAACGGGGTGGACAGGTGCTCGCTCAGTGCCACCACCACACGCCACAGCAGGTAGTTGTGCAGGATCCTGGGGCCAGGGAAGGGAGAGCTGGCCACAGACGTGCAGATGGGGGGGGTCATCCCATCCTGGTCCCCGTGTGATCCCACACTGGGGGCCACCCAGTACCCGCCTGAGAAGGACTTAAGACAGGTGAGACGGCAATCTAGGCGCACAGAAACTCAGCCTGGATGGGTGCTAAGACTCAGTCACACCGCAGGACACGCTCCTGGTCCTGCGGGCCACGGGGCCTGATGGCACAGGCCACACCATTTCCTGCCTTTCCATGGGGCAGGACACTGGGCAGAGCCGGCCTCAGGGCTGGCCTTCACCAACCAACCACCTCCACACCTGGTCCTGGTGCAGGACCACCATGCTACACCTTCCCTAGGAATCAACTTGACTCAGTTTCCCCAGACCCAGGGAGAGAAATGGCACATAGAAGGCTGCCCAGGCTCCCGTGGGGCAGGAAGGAGCAACGGCCTCTGGAACTGGGAGACCGGACTCCCCTGACAGTGCTCCTGTCTGACCCTGGGACCTGGACTCCTACTACAGTGCTCCCACCTGGCTCCCCTGATGTGGCTGTGCACAGAGGTGGCCACCCTACAGTTGCCAAGTAAACAGGCCCAGGGTGCCCAGCAGGGGTCTGAGGCAGCAGCCTCACCTGCGGGGCGTGGAGTGGATCAGCTGGGACACCTGCTGCATGTAGTCTGTGGCCAGCAGCACCACCTCCTCCTCCTCCGAGAAGTCCTCCTGGAAGATCTGGTCCAGCAGCCACTTCCAGCGCAGCTGTGGGACCCAGGACAGCAGCCACAGAGGACAGAGCGAGGATGAGGAAGAGGAACCGAGGACACAGAACCCGGCTGCCTGGAGGGCCTTGCCCATCCCTCTACAGCCAGGATGCGCCTTCACAAGGCACCAACCAGGGCTTCGGCACTCACATGGGGGGTGATCTTCTGCAGCTGCGCCAGCGTCACCTTGTTGTACATGGAGCTGACATCGCGACGCAGGTCATCATACTCTGACACGGTGATCTGGGGGGAGACCCGAGCTGAGCCTGCCTGCCCCTGCCCCTGCCCGCGTCCAGCAGCCCCTGCCCCCCTGCTCACGTTGGCCAGCCTCTGCTCCAGCTGCAGGATCTCCTGGACTTTCTGCTCCACAGCCTCGGCTCCCAGAAGTCTCAGCAGACGCTCCATGAACACCCTGTAGGCCGCCAGGATCTGCGGCAGCACAGGCATTCCTGAGGGGTGGACAGGCCTGGCCGCAGGTCCCCCCTGCTGTGCCCCCTCCCTTCCCCGCAACCCCCCCCACGGCCAGGCACCTTCTCGCTCTCCTCATCCTGAGCTAGGTACAGGGTCCTCTCGGGCAGGGTGAGCCCATCCTGGTCAATCTGGGAGGCAGACAGGGCACCCCACATCAGAGGTCAACTGCCAGCCACCTACATGTCCCAAAAGACCCGCGGGACACCCGTCCTCACAAGC